AAATAAATGAGTTGTACAAAATGCGATTTGTGGTGAGTTTTTAGATTTTAAAACACAGATTACCCAGAATTCAATGCTGCATGACCAGAGCACATGTTCCTTTTTTCCCTTTCTCCCTCAAACAGCAACAATGCAGCAGAGTAGATATTATACATTATTTAAGGACACCCTGATGTATATCTATTCGAACATGCGCAGAACGGATCATGCTTCCGGGACGGATCAGATAGTGACACGTTCTTCAGACTGACAGCGCTCCCAGCATGCACCGCAGCAACAGCAGCTTCCAGTGGAGAGCTCATAGAACATACAACAGAAAAGTAAACTTTTAATTTAATACTTCAAGATCATTTTAGGCGAGAAAATTACACTTTTAAGTGTTACCATTTACCCACTTACTGATTTATTGCATAATTTAAAAAAAATTCAAATGTTGAGAGGAACGTGGCACCCAGTGGAGCTCCGAGGCTAACAGCAGCCTGGGCTAATGTTAGCAGCAGCTTGCTGAAGTATGAAAGAGGATTAGGGCCACTGAAAAAAAAAAGTTAACTGATTTTTTTATTTTATTTCTGTTTATTTCAGAATTCTGAGATTAAAGTCAGAATTCCCATATCAAACTGAATTTTTTTAAATCGGTTAACTTTTCTTTTTTTTTTCAGTGGTCCTAATCCTCTTCCGTACTGATGTACCACTGGCTCTGATGGCAGTTTTTTTTTTTTGTTCCATTTGGTAAAATGTTCATTTGATTTGTGTTTATCTGACTGTGTTAATTATCATTGCACATTTATATTAAAGTAATAGTTTATTTTTATATAGACTATTAATAACAGGAGGTGATGTCATGAGAATGTTTCTCTTCCAATAGACACAGATTTGTTCTGCATGCGAGCCAGAAAGATGCAGTTCTGTACTACACACACATACCGGTCTCTCTGAAAAATAAACTAACGTTGAACTTAAGGTTTATAATGCGATTTACATTCCCTCATTTCAATCATACATTAGCGGTCTCAACACACAGAGGAGTGCATTTCTAATCTGCAGAAAACATGTTGCGTCTCTTTAAAAAAGTCCCAGGGCTCCTCACTAAACTAAGCTTACATTGGTTTCTGAACACTAGGGTTGATGTTTCTAACCTGACAACAGCCAGATGCATGTCTCGCTCCGCCTAGCGAGCGAGACATGCATCTGGCTGTTGTCAGGTTATGATGTTTCAGCCATGAAAGAAACGGCTCTCTGACGGCTCTGAAGTGAACGATTAGTGCTGAGCTCTTTCTCTCACCACTTTTCCTTTTCCCCCACAAGTGACTGACCAGTATGTGCTGGGCCTGGCTGAGCAGAGGGGGAGGGGAGGCAGTCACACATACAGAAACAGGAGGGGGAGGGGGAGACGAGAGGAAAAAGGAAGATACCACCAGGAGAGATGACAGGAATGGTTCCCCTCATTTAGGCCCCGTCCACACTAAGCCGAACCCTGGCCTAAACTCACAAATTTTTCACCAAACCAGCCTCTCATCCATACGAAGCCGGCGTTTCGGGGGTCTGTAAACAATCTTTTTTTTAATCAGGCCTTCAGAGTGGGAAGATTTTGAAACGCCGTTTTTGCGTTTCCATCTTTAAGCTCTAAACGCATTTTTTTTTTTATAAATGCATGCGTCATAGCGTCCCCTCTAAACACACATGCGCGACACAGTATCACAACAACAATGGCGCCGTACTGTGTGCTGCTCATGCTACTCACCCTGCTGTCGGGCTTACAACAGAATCTTCTTCTTCTGGAATATCTCCAGGAAGAACAGAGCAATATCGACGACATAGTT